TGCAGCTCTGTTAAAATCAGTTATCGAGTCGCAGCGCCGGACAAAGAGCCTCAGTTTGCAGAGAAGGAGCTTTATTGCACAAACAGCCTGCTGCACTTCAGCCACACAGTCACACACAACTGTTCCAGTTCAGCTTGTCCACCCAGTATCAGCAGTTTGCCTCAAACCAGTGTTAAGTCCATGTCTGCTGTGAAAGTTCTCGTCTGTGTGGGGTAACTACTTACCTCCAGATGCTGTTACAGGCCTGTCGCTGCATCGTTTCACTGCTCTCAGGTCAGTAAAGTGTCCTGCGTGTTTAAATGTGAAACTAAAGGCTGCTCCTCACTGAAGCTCCTGTCACATGCAGTCCTTTATTTAACTAATCATCACAGAAATCACACACATCTGCAAACAACACATTTTTCAGCTGCTGGGAGGTTTTTGGTAAACTTATGTTTTTCAGGGTGCTGAATCCAAAAACTCCACTTCCCTCCATCACGTACAGTTATTTACATTATTTATTTATTTACATTAAAAAAGCCCAACAGCGGTGAAAAAAATCACTATTCTGACCCACCGCACCCCGCCCGCCTACTGAAGCCCCTCACTGCCTCACGTTTTCTACTTTTATTTCTAAGAGTCTCACTCTTAGAAATATTAAATGAATGTAAGAAATCCTTATTGCATATGTTTTTGACTCAAGTATAGGATTCCAGAGTAAAAAAGGAAATTGTGCTTAATGAAACTAAAAACATGAGTTTTGCAAGAGGAATTAAGAATTTATTCTTCTTCCTGCTCCTTTTCATGCATGGAAACAGTGTTACTTTGAAAGGAAGGTTGTGTATGGGAATGAATTACTGCTGTACCATGTGTGAAACAATAAAATAAAATAAAATAAGGAATTTTTAAAATAGTTTCCTGGTTTCAGTGAGTAACAATCTATAAGAAACAGTCAGAAAATCCTGTGCAGTGTTTTGGATGCAGACCTGTGTAATCATGCAGGATAAAGGAGGTTAAGAAAGGAGAGAAATG